CAATGCACGCTTCCCATCTCATTCATCCCCTCATAACACAAGAGATATAGGCACGGTCTCACAGCTTGGCCGCTTCCTTAACCTCCCCGATCTTCAACTTGGGCGCATATTTCTTCAGCACGGACTCGTTGTGGTACTACCATGACCATGACCATTAACATCCACTCGTAGACCGATCACTCAGAGCGTAAAGGGTAATCACTCACCTTCCAAAACTGCTTCGAGGCATCCTTGCCCGCCACGCGCTTGAGGATCTTGGCACCGCCGGGGTGCTCGTTGATGAACTCGGTCACGTCGTAGACACTGCTGTCGACGATGATGTAGAGGCCATTGTCGGCGGAGTTGTGGGAGGCGACGTCGGCGGGGGTGAAGGACTTCGACATTGTGAGAGAATGATAGATGGTGATGAATGGAAGGACAGAGGGTAAGGCTTGTGGGGTGAGAGAAAGAAGGCGAGGAAGAAGACGTGAATAAGAAGAAGAATATTCCGAGCGGAAAACAAGGACCAAGTCCGGGGGGCTCGGGAGTCTGGGGCAGCCGAGGTTGAAATGAGGGACCGCGGGATTGCAATCGGGGGGTCGTGATTGGACCTGAGGCTGGGCCGGATGACTAACGTTTCCATTCGTATAAAAATGTATAACTAGTTCACTATGCCAAGTTATGTACTTGCAACAACTATAAATCTACATTCGGCTCTTCTCTCCACTCGCCCCGGGCCCCTTGGGTGTCTTTCGATCCAGTCCCAGCGACTCCAGATCCTTCTTCTTGTAGTAATGCGGCGCCACTTCCACCAACCACTCGGCCTGCAGCGGGAGGTTGCTGCGCATATACTCCTTGCTGGTGAGCACGAGCTCGAAGTAGATCACCCACCGCGGGTTGACCTCGAACAATGTGCTGGACGGGTGCAGGTACACCGTCTGTCCGTTCTTGATCGTCCGGTAGCTGTCGCCGCCGCGTTGCAGTCGTGCCGCGTTGGGGAAGAACCCGGACGTGATGGCCTTTTGGATCGGGATCAGGTTGGTGGAGCCGCAGCTGCTGACACTGACCTCCACTCGGTCGCACAGTTTGGCCAGTTGGTCGCGCACATCGCGTGCCCGTGTCAGGCTGCGCTGCTGGAGGAAGTTCTCCCGTGCCCACACGAAGCTGAAGTCTGAATCCACCCACTGGTTCCAGATATTGAGCAGCGTCAGGTGGTCGCCGCCGTCCTTGATGGTGAACCGGTTGCGCGCACTGTCTGCGTGGATCTTCTTGTCCTTGGGCCGGAAGAACAACGCGCTAGCCTCTCCCAGCATCGACACGATCGACAGGACCTCTTCCACGCAGCCGTACTTGTCTGCCGCGAGGATCGCCTTGGCCAGCATTGGATCTGTGGGGAACTCTGCCATCTGTCGGCCGACCTTGGTCAGCTCACCGCGGTCATTCAACGCCCCGAGAGCGTACAGTTGCTCCAGCGCCCGAATGATCGTCTCGGCCGGCGGCGGGTCCATGAAATCAAAGTCGAGCAACTGGTCGATGCCCAGCGATTTCAACATGAGAATAACACCATTCAGGTTCGTGCGCTGGATTTCGGGTGTGGTATTCTCCTCCAACTCGTTGTAGTACGCCCATTTGGTGTAGAGCCGGAAACATTTGCCCGGTCCAACTCGCCCAGCCCGTCCAGCTCGCTGGTTGGCCGATGCTCGGGAACAGGGAGTCACCACCAGGCTTTCCATGCCAGTGCGGGGGTTGAACACATTCTCCTTGACAAACCCGGGGTCGATCACGTAGACAATGCCATCGATCGTCAAACTGGTCTCGGCGATATTGGTAGCCAGTACCACCTTCCGTGCCTTCGGCGGCGTGGGTTCGAAAATCTTGGTCTGGAGCTCCGAAGGCAGATTGGCGTAGATGGGACAGATGATCATCTCTGGTATTTTGCTGCCCAGTTTCCGTGCCGTTTCCTGTAAACTTTGTTCGGCCGCTTCAATCTCCTCTTGGCCAGTCAAGAACACCAGGATATCCCCGGGCCCCTGCGTAACATGGATCTGGAACACTGTGGTGATTGCTGCCGCCAAGTAGTTGGCTTCCGGTTGGGAGGTGTAGTGCACATCAACGGGATATCGTCGACCGGGAATGTTGAAGATAGGTGCGTCGTCAAAATACTTTTGAAATTTCTGGGCATCCATGGTTGCCGACGAGATCAGCAACTTAAGGTCAGGTCGGGCCTTGGCGATATCCTTAAGGAGACCACACGCAATGTCCGTCGGCACTGTCCGTTCGTGGGCTTCATCAATCATCAGAGCTGAGTACTGGCTCAGATCCGGCTCCGTCAACAGCTCTCGCAGCAACATTCCATCCGTCATGTATTTCAGAATAGTCTTGTCGCTCGTGTTATCCTCGAACCGGATAGCATAGCCGACTTCATTGCCAATCTTAACGCCCATCTCCTCCGCCACACGTGCAGCGACACTCATGGCTGCCACTCGCCGCGGCTGTGTGCACCCGATCTTCAGGTTACCCTTGGTGTAACCAGCCTCATGGAGATACTGCGGGATTTGAGTCGTCTTTCCAGAGCCCGTTTCACCAACGATGATCAAGACTTGGTGATCGTGCACAGCCTGGATGATCTGATCGCGGAACTGGTAGATGGGAAGACTCTTACGTGTCTCTTCCATCGATGCGGCCTTCTTCTCCGCGGCATCCAGCTGCTCCTTGAGATTCCGCTGTTCCGCCGTCATCAGCTTCTGTGTGCCTTCAAGTTTGGTATCCATGACAAAGTTGATCTTTTGGGAATCGTCGAACACGTATTCGTAGTCTCCTTCGTCGACAAACTCGGCCTTTTTAATCTGGGCTTTGGCCTTGGCGGATTGCTCCAACTCCCACTCTTCGTGCTCGGTCACAAATCGCTCCTGGCCCATATCATCGCGATCCACGTAGCGCTTGTACAGAGCCTCCTCTTTCTTTTTCCGATCAATCTTGCCCTTCTCCGTGATGTAATCGTCTGGCATCATGTAGCCATCGCGGTGGTCATCGATCCGGAGTCGCTCTTCTGCAATACGCAGGACTTCCCGGTTTCGAGCAAACTCCTCTTTTTCTCGGCGGGTCAGATTTGGATTTTCGCGCAACTCAGCAGCTTCCTCCGCAACCTGCTGTCGAAGGAGAGCCAAGCGCTCAGTCTCTCGCTTTTTCAGATACTCCTGTCGAGATCGCAGTCGCAGATCAGGCATCATCTGGGCTCGAGCATCTGCGTCGTCGGCCAACGCGCGGCGCCGCGCAGCTTCTCCATCTCGTGTCCGATCCTCGACGATTTTCTTGGACTTTTTGTCATCTTTGTTGGCCAGGCGCTTCGCAAACTCGTCTCTCTCGCGGAGGTCTCGTTGGCGCTCCAATTCTTCCTTGGTCTGTGGATCGAGGTCTTCGGCGGGCGACGGCGATCGAGGGGAGGCGGATCCGTTTTCGAGTCTTGTTCGTTTGGAGGGTGACTCTGCAAACTCGTCGGCGTGCGGCTCATCTTCCAGAATCTCTTCGTCGCCCCAGCGGTCTTCAAAGTCAGAGTCCCTCTTTCGCAGTTTTTTGGTGCGCGGGCGATCCCGACTCTCGGCGTCACGACTGCGGTCTCTCTTTCGGCGTTCGTCCTTCTCCGAGCGACTGTCATCGCGTTTCCCGCTGCGCCGGTCTCTGTCGCCATCCCTGCCTTTCTCCTTCCGCCTCCGTCTGTCTCGGTCTGCCTCGACGTTCATCGGCCCCAGGGAGGCGCCAGGGTCTGGCAAGTCGTCTCCCATGTCCACCAGGCGATATTTTTTCTTGGTAGATTCTGATTTTCCCGGTGCGCTTGGAGTCGCGGACGCACTGGGTTTTTCGCCCTTGCCCAGCCGCGCAAACAGCTCCCCGCTGAATGCGCCGATGTCGTCGGAGCTGCCATCGAGCAAGGATCCGAGTTCGGTTTTCAGGGATGAGGCAGACTTGGCGGAGTTAGCTTTGGCGAGAACGAAGTCGATGATGATGGGATCTGACGCGCCGGTCAGGCGGATGAGGGCATCGGACACGAAAGTCTTGTCGTCCATCTTGCAGGACTTTTTCGGCGGTGAATGGTTGAAGGGGGCTCAGAAACAACGGCGCATGTTGTTCTGCGTGTTGGAATTGATGTGGTGTAGTGTAGTGTAATAGCAGCGAAATCCTGGTAGAAATCGCCTTGGAGGGTTGAAAAGGAAGAGTGAAGTCGAAGGCACGAAATGCCAAGGCGGAGTGGCGATCTCCAACATTTATATATTGTTAGGCCTACGTCGAATTATCTCAGCGATAGCTTTGCATTTTTGTCTCTACTTCGGTTTTCACCATTATTGCATGTCTGCATTGAACATCGCGATACGCATACATTAAAAAAACGTGTTCACCCAAAGACGCCGAGGTCAAGCAGATCAAACCAAGAAAGCCAGTACGAATGAGACACCAAGACAGATACCAGGAACACAATGCCATATATATGCCAAGCACCAGGCACTTCGATGGCCAATCTGCTCATCGACAGGAGGGAAAATACAATAGAAACCCCAGTGGCAGGGGCATAAGAACCCTGTTGTCAGGGGACGTTGGTACATTGTGTGACAGCTCTCATAATGCTAGACAATCGTACAAAGGAAAAAAAAAAAAAATTACACACACTCCCACAAAAACGCATGGAGAAACTCCATGTTCAACTCCAGGGGAATCGCTTCTTGCAGCCGAACAAACTCCACCGGGTCATGATGTGAACAGGCAAGGAAAGGAAAGAAATCCAGCAGCAAATGGGAAAAGAAGGCCAGGAGACTGGCAACAACGACGGCAAGACCACCTCGGCTTCGACTCAAAGAAGCCTGTAGCAACAAAGGGGAATCGTGAGGCAAAAAATGAAATGGCGTGGGAGACAGGACAAAATAGAAAGCCCGGAGTCTGATCAAACGCCGGGAAGAGATGACAAAGGGAAATCCACATCGCACAGAACACCCTCCATATGCACAACAAGTCAAAAAAGGGGAGATAAATTACACATCGATCATTTCGGCATCTTCAGCCAAGATCTCATCCGCGGGCCCCCAGTTGCCCTCAAAAACTGTGGCTCCAGCCCGGCGACGCTGATTCACAAACTGCAGCCCGTATGTTTCCAGGATCTGGTCTGCGGTCGGTCGATCCAGCGGCTCGGGGGAGATCATCCATCGGACAATCTTGTCCAACGCTTGTGGATGGTGAGAATCAACCATGAAGTCCGGAGGGTTGATAAGCTCGCCGCTTCGAGCCAGTCGAGGCTGTTTCGGTTCGGTCAATTTGCGACAGGTCAAATATTCTTCACCAAAATCCTCATAGCCCAGGTCCGATGCACACAGCTCCTCAAATGAGGACTCTTCCGAGACAGGGTTGCCCGAGGCGTCACGGAAGATGCTGGTTTCCGAGCTCCAAGTCAGACTGGGCACGTCGCTCATGTCGCCATTCCGAAGCTTCTGCCAGGATAGACCATTGTCCGGCAGTTCAACGTTTCCAGCAATCTCGAATATGATCAAACCTAGAGAAAAAATATCCGCCGGCTTGTCAAAACGGCCCATGAGAATCTCCGGCCCAATGTACTCTCGGTCGCCTTCGCCTTCAATACCATCTTCAGCAGGCCAGCGAGTGGCCATACCGAAATCACCAATTTTCAAGACACCTTCAAAAGTAACAAGAATATTGGCTGGTTTGAGGTCCAGATGGATGAATCCTTGGTCGTGAATGTGTTTCAGTCCCTGTAGAATGATTAGCATGGTTGTGCAACGATCAAAAAGGCAGATAACGTACCAAGGTCAGCTCGAGCAAGATCTTCCAGATCCGGAAATCATCCAGTCGGGCCTTGAGGCCAACCTGGGCGAGGAATACATCCAAGCTACCCTCCTCACAATACTCGGTTTGAATGTATAGGTGGCCACCGGCCTCCCAGCTGTCCATGAATGAGACAATGTGGTCCGTGTGGATCAAGGTCTTCAACACATCCACTTCCCGAATGCGCCGTTCGCGATCCTTCAGGCCGGAATACGGCTGTTTGCTCTTTTTGACAGCCCAGACTTGATGCGGTAGAGCGGTAGGAGACTTGGGCTCGCTTGACGGAAGAGAGAAGACAGACGGAAGGGTCTGATTATGTGATTGAGAGACACGATAGACTTGGGAGAACTCTCCAGTTCCGATCAATTCAACCTTCTCAAACCGCGATGTTAAGCTCGGGTCCACGTCGGGGATATGATAGCCGCTCATTTGAAGACTAGGAAGTTTGTTGGACGAAGAAAAAGAGTCGCGTGGCCCAGTCGGGGTGGCAGGGAAATTGGTGTTGTCCAAGTCAGGCTGCATGGAGTGATGTTGCTCGTTTGGCACCGAGATCGACAACCCACTTGGGTCGGGAGGAAAGAATTGATCACGAGGCGTTCGAGGTGACGCCTCGAGGAACTTGTCCCGCAAAGGACTTGCCTTCGTGTCCGATAGCCGTTCAAGAGACGCGATTTGAGCAGTTGGAGGGGGGTAGGTCCGAGAGGGTAGGAATGTCTGCTTCGTAGGAGTGGGGGGAAATCGGTTTCAGTGAACGGCAGGTTGTCATTCCGGGAGGACGGAGATTGAGCTTGTGACAACTCGTCGCCGTCAACGCTCACAAAACTGCTACGGCGTGAAGCCTCAGGCCGACTGAAGGTGTTGCCAAAAATGCCCATACCCCGGGCGAAGGGCCCCGGCTTGGGACGTGCCGTGGTGGGAGGGTTGAATGGGGATGAGGGCACAGCATCAGATTGCCGAAGGAGCCGGGACTTGTCAAAGAGTCGCTCCGGTGGAGGGTTTGGGCCCGCAGCAAAAAGATTGACAGGCCGCTTGCATGGAGTATCAGGCATGTTCTTATTGAAACCGCCATTTTGAGGCTCTTCAGCATTGCGGTTTTTCTTTGAGATAAGCCCAGTCGACATGAATGCCGCCGGTAACGGCTTCACCAGCTTGTAGTTTTCTGGCGTCGCAAAAGACTCTGCGGAGGAAGTCGACTCCTCTCGAGTCACTCGGCGGACAGGAGCAGGCCGAGTGGCACCAGCTGGGAGAGATTTGGAGAAACTGAAGATCTGCCGTGGGCGCTCGGGTTTGTGCATCGGTTCATGGGTAGGCGAGTCATCGAGGCTTGACCCCGAGGAGGACTGGGTGATGGTCCGGGAAAGAGGATGGGCGGCGGGGCGACTGGGTTGTGGTGCCGGGGCAGTTGGATTGGCAGAAAACAGAGGGCTGGCTGGGACAGGCCGGGGCGAGAAGATGTTCTCTTGACCGGCCTGGAACAGGCTGCTGTCAAATGACATGCGTGGCCGAACTGTCAAAGGGGTACCCGGTTGAGATGCCTCAGGAGAGTCTCCCGTCTGCTTGGATCGACCAAAGAGTGATCGCTCACCCTGACGTTGCTGTAGAGTAGACCGCCGAAGAGATGAAGAGCGCTTTGGAATGGTAGCAAACGGACTGAACGGTTGGATAGGAGTGGGGAAGGACGGGATATCAGTTCCTGGGGGAGATGGCCCCGAAGTGTTTTCGTTATCATGGTCGAAAATATTGAAGTCCGCCGAGAAATTGGGCATGTGTACACTGCGCCGCTTCGCCGATGGACTGCCGCGGGAAGCTTGGTCCAAGTTCATGATGCCGTCGCTGCGCTTCAAGGGACTACCGGTTGCATACGCTCCGAACGTCCCACTCCGTCGCTTCTCAATGCGCGACATTGTTGATCGAGATGCAGAGCCTGGCTCAAGAGCAGATGGAGAGTTGTGCGCACATGGGCTTTCAGGGGTGGTACTTTCGGGCACAAGCAGGTCTTCGACAGACAAGACATTTTCTTCCCCCGGGAGTGATGAGATGGGCTGGTTTGGTGTCGCGTTGCCACCGTCTGTCGAGACATTGAGGGCGCGTCTGGCCGGACTCCGGGGCGATGTTCGTCGACGCATTGCCGGCCTGGAGATCTTCGCGCTTGGGGGATAAGGCACGGCGAGAGGAGATTGATGAGCGGAGGTTGGGAAGAGAACAAAGTTGTTCTGCGTGGACCGCCGCGAAGGGGACAGTGGTGATGAGATGTATGGCGCAGACTTGGAGGGAGACTGGGTGCGCGAATTGAGGAAGAAGTTGGAGCTCTTTGAAGGCGAGCGCGACAAGGAGCGCCGTAGCTGTCGGATGGCCGAGCTGGCGTCAACGTGATGGATGCCCGAGTGCGATGGCAGATGGAGCGTGCCGCCCGAGTCCCGGTGCGGCGAGAAGGTTGCAACCATGATCGGGGGAATCGGTCCACAGTGTGCCGCGCTAAACGACGAGAATGGGAGCTGGTCGGGTGAAAACGAGGTTTCCACACGTCAGTTCAGCGCTCGAAAAGATGGTAGATGTAATGCGTTGGAAGGTCTGAATATCTAGCAGACTCCGGTGGTGTTGTGACAACAGGGCCTCAGCCACGATCACGGACTGACCGAGCGATTTGGACGCGCCGGCGTGAATCAACAACACGGCCTTGAGGTGGCGTTCCTCGGATGAGTCAAGAAGAATGCTGGGTCGACCAGTCAGGGTAGACAGACAGGAACCTCTGGAATGTTGCAGTAGGCGCAGCCGTGGTGGCGGTCGAGTCGAGGGGGGCGAGGGAAGTATCGAGATCACAATTGCGGGCAGTCATCCACTCATTGCGCAAGCGAGGAATTCGCAATGGATGCTGCTCTCCATTCAAGCACGCGGCAACACACTGCTCTACGCGCGCGTGCAACGAAGATGTTTCGGTTGTTTTGCTACTTGATCGAGGGCGCGCGCAGGTCGGGCGGGAATGTTTCAGATAAAACACACCGACATGTGGCAGGCGCAACGATGTCGATAACAACTGGCAAGGGCGGAACACAGAGTCGTTGGGGATGGATTCCTCTGCCCAGACTGTTTCAAGGAAGCACGGAAGCGTAAGGGGCGGATCCCCCTCCCACACAGGTGTTGATGTTGGCCCACGAGGACGAGAGGGCGATTGAGGAGGGGGCGGGCTGAGGAATGTGGGTTATGCCGGGTGGGTGTCGCGGATTGTAAGAGTCGGGTGAGGGTATTGGCGGGTGGGTGAGGTATGTATGGAGGCGGATGATGGAGTGAGGAGGGGCGGGTAAAAAGGGTGGTCAAAGAAAGAAAGAATGGAGGAAAGAGATGAAGGTTGATAATATGATGGATCATGACGCGCCCCAGTCGCGTTGTTGCCTGTCTGGATCGGGTTTAGTGTGGCGGGCCGACGCGTGACCATAAACAAATAGTCGCTCTTATGTCAGCGGGATCTATAGTTCTGAGTGGGACGTATACACGACGGTTGACTCTGTTGACGAGTGGCAATATACACTACGGTGACTCTGTTGACGCATTCCTCTGCAGATAACCTTTGCCCCCTGCCCTGCCGGGGCTGAGGCGAATCCGAGTACGTGAACAGCTGGCCCCAGCGCTGCGACGTGGACGCCACCGGGCTGCCTACAAACAACAACAGGCGATCCCATTCGACAGAAAAATGCACCGAAGAGTATGCACAGAGGCACCTGGATCTGGGGCCGACGGCCATTTGTCGCGAGCATTGTTTCGGAGTTCAATGGACCAGCCGCCACGCGAACTCCCCTTGCTTCGACGGCTGCCATCCATGAGTTCTCCCACACACTCGCACGGCCACTGGATTCCTCGTCAATATGATGCGTCGTCATGCTAATTTGAGACAGTTGGCAGAAAGAAGGGCCTCCCGGGGCCGAGTGGCAAGGGGCCAGAGTCCACTGATTGCGTAGTTGGCCTGACGTGCCCTAGAACAACAACAAAGCACAACAAGAGACGTCAAGTACTAAACATAATAATAAACGCATTGGATTTGACACTGAGAACTACAGGGCTCGAGGCACAGTATCATGGCTGATCGTCCCTTCCAAGGAAGGCAGCCACTCCCTCCGCCTCTGACAAAAAAATTCCTGACGAGGCGTCCACTCGCTTTTGGAAGGCCCTAGATCCATGGTGCCCGAAGTGATGGACACTGCATTTTCGCCTTCTGGGACTCCTTGACTGGTGGTGAACAAAGGCGAACCACAGTTGGAACAAAACGACCGGGAGAGAGCTCTGCCTGATTCCTGGTTTCTGTCCTCGTAGACTTTGAGAACATCTTTTCCGGTAATAATACGGAGTTGCTATAGACCAGTTACTATGGATTTGATCAATAGAGATGCTGGGAAGCTTACCTCTTTCAAGTAGAAACTGTTTGCCATGAAGCTAGACCCGGTGCATTTGCGACAATTATCGCAGTGACACAGAAGAGTGGTTACCGGAACCCCAGAAACTTCATATCGGATTGTCCCGCAGAGGCAACTTCCAGTGATGACAGATGGCGGCATGACTTTATGATGAGAATGAAAAGTAATTAATAGCGGTAGACGAGAAGTTCGATCGATTTTCGTTGCCGTTAAGAATGAATGGACTCGTTCAGTCAGGCCTCCTACGGTATGACTCAGTGTTGCTCGAGAAACCTCGAGAAACTTCCGCCCGAATGGAAAATAAGAACAACCCGCTCCCTAGTCATTAGTCGGGCCCTCCCCAGCGAGAGCGCGGGTATGCTTCAAACCATTCTCTAGTTACCACTCCGGCAGTATCCACACAAATTACGAAGCCTGACGTGCCCCACCATGGTTTGTTTATCAGTGTGGCTTCAAGATCGTCCGGGATCTGCGAGTCATATCTCGCGCTACAAGTGATGCGTGAGAAAAGAAAATGAACATGTCTATCCAGCAGAAACGCACAAGAAAACAATAAATGCAGGAGAAGATTCAGAGGCATCTCATCTAGGGAGGATCCAAGAACAAGGCCACCAAAACAAACGATCCCAAAGTACGCTGCCGTCTAATGCTCTCTCTCGTCCCCGTCTATCTATCTACATGGCTAGGCCTGGTGTGTCCACCAATGCACTGATCTCTTGTCGGACCTCCTCAATTATCCGATCTGCCGTAGTGCTATCGAGTCGACTGTCAGGCCCAAAGAGTCCAAAGTCTAGCCGACCATCTCGAACTGCGGCCTCCACGTCAAGAGTGGGCTGTTGAAATCGCATTAGCATTCATTTAGTAACTTGGATTCACATCAGATTACTCACCCTGTAAACATCTTGAATAACCGCCAAAGCGTTGGAATCGAGTCCCCTTGTTGGAGTGGGTGGTGGTGCAGTTGCAATGTCGCCATTAGTTCGGGCATGGTGACACACGCCGGGACTTGAATCCCGCGGTCTCTCGAGTTCCTCACCCGGAATAGCTTTGAAAACAACATTTTTGCCTTCCTCGGTGTGGCCGCTGGTATCTGCCAACTCGGGTAATCGCAGGAAGTTGATGCAAGTGTCAATTCGGACGCCCGTCCATTCAGCAATTTCTCCAAGAGAGACACCAGCATGATCAACCATGCTAATTTCATTGACATCATTCTGAATTTTCCTAGCTGCAGCAAAGAGGCACGTATCATTCCTTGTGGCCCTGCCGTCGAGCCGAAGTGGGACAATATTGACAGTAGGCGCAACGAGCTCAGACAATCCCTCAGCGGCATAAGATCGATTGGCAAGATACAAGCCAACGATCAAGCTCTGTCGGTCTTTCTCATCATGGACGAAGATTCGAGCGTGGACACGAGCGTACATGGCCAAAAAGATGGATTGTACACTGAGACCTTGGCGCTTAGCGGCTATTTCAAGCCTAGTCATGTTTGAAACTAGCCCTGGGCGGTAATACTGGTGGATGACGCCGAATTTAGACTTCTGTGGCACTGCGGTCTTGTTGGTTGAGTATTGGCCCAGGTATTTCTTCCAGAATTGCCGCCGAATATCCACTGGTGAATGAACGAGCTGGAACGCCACAAACTGTGAGATGTCCACGAAACCAGGGTGTGGTTCCTGTTCCTCTCCTTGTCTGTACAGGGTGGCAAGTCTGTCAATCATGGAGGGAAGACTGACAGCATCATAGAGTGCATGGTGAATTTGCAGCACGAGTGCTGTGCCTTGGGATGTATGGCACGCATGTAGTGCAACTGGCACCGAGCCCAAGCCTCGTTGTGTCTTGCTCGAAATCATACGGTTATGAACTTTCTGGTGCCAGACAACGGGATTCTGGACCGACCTCAACACGGCTTGGACATATGGCAGTCGTGGAAGATCTCTCGCAGGGATGAAGACAGTCCGGAGGATGGGCATCTGGTCTATGAGTCTAGCCCATGCTCTCTCTAGTCGCTCTTCGCTCAGCTCTCTCGATGCCAGGTAGTAAAATTCAGGATAGAACACATCCTGGTTCTGGGCGTGCATTGACAGAAAGTATGATTGTCCCGCTGTTGTGGGAAAAGTGCTCTGAACCAGACGCGGATCAACACCATATGACTGCAGCAGTGCCTTCACATCTACTCCGCTGAGAGAGCTGCAGAGAGCGCCAGATATCTCTGCTGTTGTGAGCTCCGTTCGGGCGCTATTTGCTGCTCTGGCCATTCCATCAATTGTTCCAGCTTTGAGAATGTCACTGACAGCAAGTTTGACGGATTGCTTCTTCAGAAGGGCCACAACTTTGATAGCACTGATGCTGTCCAGTCCCAGTTGGAATATAGTTGCACTTTTGTCAATCGAGACCTCTGGGACCCCAGCGACAGTCGAAAGGACATTGCGGATCTTGGACTCGAGGGGAGACCACTCAGTTGAATGCGGTGCTTGAGACCATGCATCGACCACATCCATATTTCCAGCCGAAATTTCCTGGAAGACTGGGCCTCTACATATGCTCAAGCCCTCCCTTGTGAAATCGACGGTTTGTTGGTTGGGGTCATCAACGATGGACGAAAGTGTATGTGCCATCTGGCCCACAAGCTTCAATGTATCTTTTTCCCCCAGAACAGTCTCCCGACAAGCCACTCGGCCCACAAGGGATTCCCCAACGCCTTCAACCTCAGCGCAGATGGGATATTCGACATCTGACACACCTCCTATCGACGTGTACAGTTTCGGTCCTTGAGCGGTACTCTCGATAGGTCTCTTCTGGTAGATAAATAGCGTGTCAAACAATTGGAGTCGTCCTGTATCGGGTCTTGCGCGTCGAAGAGAGAAATGTTGGTGGTCTGACATCTCCAGAAGGGCCTCTTGCACATATCTCACCAGTTCCAAGCGCGTACCATGGAGAACAACACGCATGGCTACTGTGTTCATGGTAGGAAAAATCACATGCTCAGAGCCGGCGACATTTCGGCCAGAAAGAACGAGACCGAAGACGACATCCAGCTT